AATTCTGTCCGCTTTTCTCATCAGTTTTCGTCCTTTTATGACATTCTTCTGGTCTTTCGACTCCTTTTCATCACTGCTTTCAATACGAGTTTCTTCTGATTCTGTTTTTTCCTCTAATTTAATATCACTTTCTTTGGATTCAATTTTGAGTGATTCCGTCGTTTCAGTCTCTTTCACTTCAACCGATTTGATGTCCAATTGAGACAATTTCTCAGATATTGTCAACACTTTGCTCTCTTTGTTAACATCTGTTTCTTCAGGATTCGTCTCTTGAAGACTCTCTTCTCTCTTAGTGTCTATTTTTGGTCCTTTAATTCTCACATCTCTTTCACTCAATTCTTTTCCATCACTTTTATCGACAACTATTTCATCGGATTTTGGTTTTTCTAATTGAATATCACTTTCAATTGATTCAAGTTCTGGTAATTCTATTGGTTGGATGTCTTCCTCCCAATCGTTGGCGACAATGGCTTCTTCGGGAGGGGTTTCTCTATTTCTGTCGCCTTTTCTCAATATTTTTCGCCCTTTTATTATGATTTTCTGTTCTTTCGCCACATTTTCATCACTTTTGTCGACAACTGTTTCATCAGATTTGACGACACTTTCAGTTTCGACAATATTTTCTGATTTAATCGTTTGGATCTCTTTCTTGGGAACCAATTCTTCACTTAATTGGTTTGGTTTAGTGCTTGAAATCGGTTCCACAGTTTGTGTCACACTTTGTGTCACATCTGTTATAATGAGATAATTATAAAATCGTAACGAAAGTCAAATCATAAGACAATTTACCACTCGTTTGGACGATATGTTCAACACATGGAGTAGTGGTGTCCACGAGATTGTCGTCTTTAAGCCGCGCATCTGATCCGTGTCTATCAGTACAGTCGACCTCTTCATCCGCGCTCTCGAACTCATCATTTGATCCATCGGTTGAAGACATGACGAGTGAGTGTTTGTGTGAATTGTTGTGTCATATGTTTTGTGAGTCAACGCAGCACTCGATCTGACGAGACATCTGTTGTCTCTTATGAGCTGTGATTTGAAACAAAAGTTCTAAACATTTGCTAAACTTCTAAAAGTGTAGACAATTTGGAGATGGTTTGTAAATTGAGACCATTGGGCGATATTGTGAAGTGTGTGCACACCTCGACTTTGCCCATGGACCATGGTCATTTATAGAGAAACGGTGTGGAGACGTTTTGGAGATTTTGTCATAGTTTTGAGCCCAATAATGACTTACAACTATTTGTTCATTTAAAAGCTTTCCTGAAATACTACAGTACAGGTTGTCACGAGATAACGGCCACAGTAATGGTGATTGTGTTAGTACGCCAGGGAAATAGTAGAGGACGTAACGGCCGACGGCTCGTTACTTAGGTTCACGTATTGCGCGCCGAACAACACTAGTCCGGTGCCCATCAGTCGGGCTAACTCTATGTGTAGGTGTAGACGGCGCGTGAATAGTGTAGAGGTGTAGACACAATCAAGTCAGTTCAAGTCTGACTATTAAATAACCATTTAGTTTAAACCACAATCAAATACAATGTAATTATTGAATTATTTGTGTTCAATATTACACAGTGAGTACATGTGTTCACTCTATCATTTAAACTCAATAACAATATTTAATGCATAGAAAACTTTTCATAATTTTGTGTTAAGTAATGATAATAAAACTTTTATGAATTTAAAAATAAAAATCATTTATTAATAAAATTATACATGAAAGTTCCTAGCCATCCCTTACCTTGCTCAAAACTACCCATATGTTTTTCACTATAACGGGGTTTACAGTAAATATGCTGCAAAATAAATCACTTTCACTATCCCTCTCATGAGATTGCATTGTATTCTACAATCATTTTAAATACATTTAATATAACCTCAAACTCAAAATATTTTCATACATAATTCCATAGATAGTTACCATGTTTTGTAAATTTACAGCAAAAATACTAATAATATATCAAAATATTTATTTACATTATATACAGCTTTATATTTTTAAATATATATGTAATAGATAAATAAAATTAAAAATAATACAATAAACTTTAATATAAATATAATGTATTGGTTTTACTACTATACAGCATACTATACTGTAAAAGCATGCATTTTAATTCAGACAATCATTTTAAATTAATTACAACTTGCAATCCATACTAAACTTTTGACATTTTTGCAAATAAAAAGTTATTAAAACTTTTTAAAAATAATTATAATAAACAAGCAAAAGTGGCTAGGAAATTATAACCTTGGTTAATTTAACCACAATTTAACGGCTCAAAGTAATATAATTAATACTTCAATATAACGGGTGTTTACTATTAATAAACGTATAATTAAACCCCATATAACACTAGCATTTAAACTAAATATTTTTAACATTAATAAATATTATGCACTTTCATTGGAGGTATTAATAATTTGTTTGTGTACATCACTGGCCCGGCGACCCTTATTGTGGCCCAAATACAAGTCCTGTGCCTAACAGTCGGACTAACTCTACAGTGTACGCGGCTATGGTGCTTGAATAAGGTAAAGGTGTATACGGTGGACACGGTAAGGTCAGGTCAAGTCAAGTCAACTACTAAATAAGTATTTAGTTTACTTTACAATCAAATACAATATATAAACTATAATACAATACAATATACAGTATACACTGTACACTGTACATGTATTAGTGAACACTACATGTGTTCACTCTATTATTTAAAATCAATAGTAATATGCAATGTATACAAAACATGTTATACTTTTGCAAACAATTGGTTAATAAAACTTCACTAATCAATAAAATTAGCCCAAAACATCGCCATTTTATACCATGCTCAAAATAATCCATATGTCTTCACTATAACGGGGGTTCACTATAAACATACCCAACAATAACTCTCTTACTAGCCTTATTATGACATTGAATAGCATTAGATTTTTATTAACCGATTTTAATTATTCTTTTTTTACCCTTAAACATGTGTTTTCCATTAACCCATAGAAAGGGTGTATCAATAAGTGATATACACATTGATATACAAAATATCATCTTTAGATCACTAAATAATCCTAAAGTACTTGCAATTGATTTGATATTTTTAGATCTTTCCGATGCTTTTGATAGTTTATCACAAAAATTATAATTATATAAATTGTCTAAATATGGTATTTGTGGTGTTTTTATGGATATTTTAGTGGAAATATTCAATAATCGAAAACAGATTATCAAATATAATGATGTATTTTCAAATGAAACTGTGATAACATCAGGGGTATTTCAGGGGGCAGTTCTGTCCCCCCTATTATTTCTTATATATATATCTGATATAATTAATAATATTAATTCAGAAATATTTATTTTTGCGGATGATGTAACTTTGCTCAGGGTTATCTATGATAACAATGATTGCAATGTTTTACAAAACGATTTGCAAAATATATACAATTATTGTACTGATAATCACTTAAAACTCAATTTAAATAAGTGTGAAGTCTTACGTATTTCATTTAAAAATTGTAACGAGTTTAACTATAAATTAAATGATTATAATCTAAACTATGTTAATGTACACAAAAATATAGGTATTATTTATGATAGAAAAATGTCATTTAATTCTCATTATGATTACATAATTGCAAAATCACTTAAAAAGTTTGCAATTCTGAAAGTATTGTGTAAACGTGTAAACGGTTTAACGTTTTTAAGATTATATATAACATATATTTTACCAATACTTGAATTTAGTAATTTAACTGTTATTCCAAATAAAACACAAAATATTAGGTTAGAATCAGTACAGCGAAAAATCACCAGGTTTATTTGTTATAAAATGCATAAAAATAACCTCTCATATGAAGAGAGAAATATATTTTTGAAAATAACTTCATTAGAAAAAAGGAGAAAAATTCAAATTCTGAAAATTGTAATTAAAATGAGACTTAAATTATATGAATATCAATATAAGTGGTTAAATGAGATCGAGTTTTACGAAACCACAAGACATGGTATATTCTGTAAAGTAATTTTACATAAATCTATTTGTGACAAAAGTTTTTTCATATATGCTTCACAATTGTATAATGAATTACCAATACATATAAGATCTTTAACTAATTATAATGAATTTGTTAAACAAATCAATTTGTTTTTATGAATACTCATGTATTATTTAAGACACGTTCTTGAAATTAATAAACATTATTATTATTATATTACAATTATACATTTGTGCCTTCTCTATACTTCTTATAGTTTGACCAGTAACAGTGATTCAGAATGTATAGGTTAGATATGCAACTTATTTTCTCTGTTAGAGGGAATCCCCGAAGAATTTTATTTCCTGTACAGGGAAAATACAGGGACGGGAAATTTGAATGAGTTAACAGGGCAGGGACAGGGAATCCCTGTAACCCTTAGAGGGAATCCCTGTAACAAAATTTCCCTCTAATTTCCTTGTAATACAGAGAGTGAGTGTTAAATGTGTAAATGAATTTTGTGTCGTAAAGAGGTTGTAATACAGTTATATTGTTATAACATGGTTGCATTTCACGTCAATTTATTAAAATAATAAAATATTATCAATAAATAGACGTTTTTACAAGATTTATATAGTAAATTTTTTTTACAGGGAAATTACAGGGAATCCCCGGAGTTCCCTGTTAGGTTCAACAGGGCAGGGATTCCCTCTAAGTACTAAGCATAAGTAACAGGGCAGGGCAGGGAAATGAAAATTGGAACAAGTTGCATGTCTAGTATAGGTTATTAAGTATAGCACGTGACCAATATCTATAATAGGATACAATATGCAGAATGTCATGCGTGACACTATTATGTGCTTTTTACAGAATTCAATTCTCTTATACTGTAATAGTTATCGCGAAAACGCTGTGCCAAACATTAATTGACCGCCTCTTATATTACACTTACATTCCCTCATATCATATAAGAGTCAATATTTCCCTCAAAACAATGATTAATAAAATCAATGAAACGTTAATTTTTAATAAATTGTGAATAAATTTTTATTTATTAATAATTAATATAAAACTTATTTTAAAATAAATTCAAATAATATATAAAATGCAAATCAAACGCATCGCTCGACTTTGGCTTTGATTGCTTTCAAGTCGTATAACAGACTTCTAACGGCTCTGTCCTCGGAGTCCATCGTTTGTAAATCAATTAAATAAGCGGACAATACGTCCAGACTTTTGGTGCAAAAGTGACGCCTATTTTCCAATAATAACACAATTAATAACTTTTCAAAGCATACAATAAATGAGTTGTAATAAACCTTTCAGAAAATGAGACCAAAGACTGGTTAAAAGTAAACGCATTGATAATAAAAGCCAGAACTCGAAGCAAATGTATTTGTTTTCGCGGCCAAGAAGTGGATAATTCACGTGATTTATAGAGTTTATGGTAGAGATCGAGTAAATCCGTTAATTTGACGCCCATTTCCAGTAGACTCTCTGTAAGCCATTGCGACTCAAACTCAAAGTTCTGTGTTTTCGTCTCCAAGTATTTGACAATAAATTCTGTTAAATATATTCATTATTAATAACTTATGAATGCTTTGAATGTTCTGTAAATCAAATACAAACCGATTGGGAAATATTTCTCAGAACTCATGTATAGTTTGGCCAAATGTTTGATTTTATTACAAATTAGATTCTTCTGGGCGTCGGAAGACATGGAACTGACCGCTCGTAAGTCACTATCAATAATGTTTCGCCAAATGGTCTCAATTAGGTTCGGGTCGTGATGTCCGGCGCAGTGAAGGATAGCTAACTGACATTCGGCTAAATTGAATCGATCGGCAAACTCTTCGT